TGCAAAGATCAAAGCAATGAAGATAGTACTCTAAAACACCAACTCAACACCAATTTAATGACTAACTGGAATGAGTTTCAAAAAAACACTTCTGCTGACAATAAAATTATTTTCTGACATTAGGCAAATAAAAATAACCACTGTCTATTATATTTCTTTAAAAAAAATAACTCACCCACTGCATGAAAGTAACTACTTGTATTGATAATACTACGTTTCCAACAGTTTTCCTCTTCAGATTGAAAAACAATCAATCAGATAGTTTCAATAGTAAGAGTGAATGACCTAAGTTTAGTGCCCCAAATACAGTTCTCCTTTAAGCCTAAGTGGAACTGGGCTTTTCTCTTACCAGATAAGCTGTTAAGCTATGCCTTGAATTTAAATCTGCCAATATATGGATTCTTCTAACACAGCCACCCCCACTTATCATCAAGAGTGATATACTTCTTGTTCTATTCCCGCAACTCCTCCCTTGCTACAAAAAAGAAGGCACTGCAGGGCAGAAATTCCTCAGGTGCTTGCTAATGGAATTCCCAGGGTCTATGAGCCGCTTCGGGGATCAAGAGATCTCATAGCCCCTGCTGGGGTAAGAAGCAACGAGTCTGTTCCGTTTAATCAAATACAGAATGAATTTTCAGCCCTATTCACTAGGTTGTCTCCAGGGCTCCAAAAAAGCACCAGGAAGCTAGATCACACTAATGTGGCCCTTTCAGGCAAATATAATTAGTTTGATTTTAAAAGACTCACATTAATGTCACCTCAAAAGTATTGTCAGATTGCAGTCATAAAGGAATACTGTATGTTTCATACCAAACTAAGAAAATTTAAACAGGAACCATGCACATACAATACATTCCATAAGGGATGTTTCCTATTATACCACAGTGCATGGTTTCATTTTAAAAGGGAGGCAGTTAGTCATGCTTAACTCTTTGAGCATGAATATGAACCAGCAGTTATGGATTTTTCTTCAGTTTCTTAGCCCTCTTTCAAAATGATATTTACCAATTTAACCCGTGTAATCAAACACTGCATCTTGATTCTACAGAGTGGTAAAATCTCTATGTAAATGACCCTGAATGATAAGTGTTCAGGATTTAAGCATATATTACTCTAGAATGAATCCTATTTAAAATACAGATATATTAAACTACACCTAACTTTTTGTGCCAAGTGTGAAACACACGTTTAGGATCCCACATAATAAATTACATCCAATCTCTAATATATCTGAAAGGTATACTAAAGGTAACAATCTCTCAGGGAGCCTAGTTCTGCATATATTTTACTCACCAAGAAAAAAAACCAAAACCACAATCTTTCTAGTAAAACTTCAGTAAGATGTTCTCCCAAATTACAGTAAAACCAGTACACCATTTCTGGTCTGATGCATACAAAACTCAATGGTCTCTACCTTGTTGACTGCATGAAAGAAGTCTAAAAAACAAGGCATGCATCAGAAAGTCAAACCACCTGAAATTGTGCACACTTGTAGCAATGACAAAGACAATCCCATCTCTCAGCTGTGTACCTTTGGTACACTGTTACAATGTTATTTAGTTGATTCCACACATTTTTATCCAAGTAAAAACATCTGAACACTAGTTCTAAGAACAAATGTTTTAGCCAAAGTTGCAACTGATGTCCCTGTGTCACAAATATATGGAGGAGCACAAAGATGCAAACAGAAATAACCTACTTAATTTGGTCAGAAAGTCTATGTCAGTGGTTCCCAACCTGTGGTCCGTGGACCACCAGTGGTCCACAAGAATGAAAATATGGTCTATGGCCTCACCATTACTACAGCAAGGAGAGTGGTATCACGAAACCCTTATAGTGCTGAGGCAATGGGGATGTCAGGAGGGGAGAGGCTGACTACCCACGAAAGATTAGTACTACCACATCAGCTCTTGATGATTAAATATGGTTTTCTGCGGGCAAGCAGACGGCAACTACTGGATGGCATAGGTTCTGTATCAAACTAGAGCTGATGTGGTCTAGCCAATGCAATTTTCGGAATCAGCACCCCTATTAACCAAACTGAATCTAAAGTTGATCAAAAACTGATTTTGGTACTAATGTTAGAGAGTGGCCCCTGGTCAAAGTGGTCTCTGATCAAAAAAAGGTTAAATTCATGTAACCACTGCTCTAGTGGGTGAATATTCATGTTTAAATCTATCACATATTTTGAAGGAATAAATGGAATATGCTGGAACCCTGAAGCTCATGATGAACAATCTCTAATTAAGCTTTGGCATCTGGAAGCATTGCGTGTTCTGTTGTAGATGGCTAATTTATTGTTCATAAAAGTTAAAGGGTCCCTGGTCAAAGTGGACCCTGATCAAGCGGTCCCTGGTCAAAAAAAGGTTGGGAACCACTGGTCTACACGGACACTGACACTTCAATCTTCTGCATCTTTGGCAAATTAAGTTGCTGGAAACACTTGCCATTAAACAATCTTACATGAACTCATGTCAAAACAAAACATGTTGCTAATGTATTAAGCAAACTATTTGAAACAGCTGCAGGGAATGGTCAGCTATTTCATATTGTGCGGCGAGGAGCCCCCGGTGGCACAATGGGCCAGCAGGACTGAAGACCAACAGGTTCGAATCCGGGGAGAGCGCAGATGAGCTCCCTCTATCAGCTCCAGCTCCTCATGCGAGGGCATGAGAGAAGCCTCTCACAAGGATGGTAACACATCAAAACATCTGGGCGCCAATTCTCTCACACCAGAAGCGACTTGCAGTTTCTCAAGTCACTCCTGACATGCATTTATATAGAGAGAGGGGGGGGGCATTGCATTCTTGCACAGAGCTCATCCAGGGCAACGTCCTTGCAGGCGGCCAATTCTCTCACACCAGAAGTGATTTGCAGTTTCTCAAGTCACTCCTGACATGCATTTATGTATATATATAGAGAGGAGGGGCATTACAATCTTGCACAGAGCTCATCCAGGGCAATGTCCTTGCAGATGGCCAATTCTCTCACACCAGAAACGACTTGCAGTTTCTCAAGTCACTCTTGACACGCATTCTCATATATATATAAAAGAGAGGGAGAGGCATTGCATTATTGCACAGAGCTCATCCAGGGCTACGTCCTTGCAGACGCCCAATTCTCTCACACCAGAAGTGACTTGCAGTTTCTCAAGTCACTCCTGCCACGCATATATATATATATATAT